GACCGCTTCATCTCGGTGGAGCTGGTGGACGAGAGCCTCTTCGACTGGAACGTGAAGCTGCACCAGGTGGACAAGGACTCGGTGCTGTGGCAGGACATGAAGGAGACCAACACGGAGTACATCCTGCTCAACCTCACCTTCCCTGACAACTTCCCCTTCTCGCCGCCCTTCATGAGGGTGCTCAGCCCCCGTCTGGAGAATGGCTACGTCTTTGACGGAGCCATCGGCATGGAGCTCCTCACCCCCCGCGGCTGGTCCAGCGCCTACACCGTGGAGGCTGTCATGAGGCAGTTTGCGGCCAGCTTGGTCAAGGGGCAGGTAGGGGGTCCATGGGCTCTCGCTCTGCGTGCGTGTGGTGGGGGGGGATGGTGTCTGTGCATGTGTTTGGGTGGGAACCCCAAAGGGCAGCGGGTCAAGCCCCACCTGTGACTGACCTTGGCCAGGCCTGGGTGACAGGTCTCCCCTGAGGACCTGGCATCACTGGTGGGAAGGAGGCAGGCACACACGTGTTTTGCTCGGGGGTCCCTTCTCAGGCAGGTGCAGCGGAGGTACGGGGCAACTTGGAGGGGCAAGGAGCACATGCATCCATCGTGTCCTCCTGCACGTCTTTTGTCCCTGTGCCTGGCTCTGTTGCGTGTGGCACCAAGATGTCATGCCCGTTGCCCCCGAGAGGCACCTCCCTTGCCCCAAAGCAAAAGGGGCTCTTCAGGCTCCAGTGGGGTTTGGGATTCGAGTCCTCCGCCTCCTGCCCTTCACCAACTAGTCGGCCATACTTGCTGGTCTCCTGCGTGAAGTGCTGCCGCTGGCGTAGGGCACGACGCTGGAGCTGCTGTCCCCCGGTCTTTGTCTGGTGCTGTCCTGCATAGCATCCCTTGGGGAAGAAGAGGTGACCCCTGGTTTGGGGCTTGGCACACAGGGCAGAGGTGTGGCACGGGGTCACACCTGGGATTGCTGACTGAGCTGCTGGCAAAGTTGTGCCAGTTTAAAATTTCCCTGCCTGAAGGGAACAAGTAATTTCGGGTATGCACTGCAGTTGCAGCAGCTACACGGTTCCTGCCAGCTCTCCTCTCCGGAGGAGGTGCCTGGTTCCCCTGGCAGAGGATCTCATAGGAGCTGAATCAATGCAGTTTATGCTTTTTTTCTTTCTCTCCTGCAGAATATCCTTAGAAGAGAAGTATTTCATAAGCCGTTTTTTAATAAATGGGCAAATATTGCTGGTGAAACTCATAGCCAGTCCTTCCTTATGGTTATTGTAGTGGGCAGTATACACATGGCTGTGACAGAGTGATTTTCCTGTTCACTTCATGAATGCCCTTGAACCCAGGGGACATGCACAGCTTCACGTCTGTCAGTAAATGATGCTAAGTAACTTCTTAAATTCGTATCTTGGGGGGGGGTGTGGGGAGAGTAAATAATAATGTATTTTTCATTTGCTTAAAAGTGAGGTTACTCCTGTTTGCCTCTGGAACTGCTTGCGTGAGCAGAAGTAAAGGCTTAGTTTCTCTTAAGACTGAAAATTAATTTTGGGGGGGGGGTGTGGGGAGAGTGAATAATAATGTATTTTTCATTTGCTTAAAAGTGAGGTTACTCCTGTTTGCCTCTGGAACTGCTTGCGTGAGCAGAAGTAAAGGCTTAGTTTCTCTTAAGACTGAAAATTAATTTTGATTATTTAACGTACTCTTTTGTAAGTAGCTTTTCCTCCTTTTTCTCTGTTTGATTTGGGCCTACTGCTCCTTTTTTTAATCAGATAGTATTTTTCTCTGCACTTCATTTGAAGAGGTCAGGTTTCCTAGGTCACCTTGGGATATAAAAAACATCTACCAGAAAAAAAGAGAGCCTTAATTTACGTTGAGCCTGGGATATGTTGAAGTTCTGTAGCTACCCTTAACTGCGTCTCACTATTTGTTAACCCATCTCTTTTTATATACGTCATAGTTCTCATTATTATAGACAAGCATTTAGAATGCTAAATTCTCTCAATTTTTTTAACAAGTCAGCATCTTTCTGCAGTATTGAGTGTTGAACGTAAAAGGGTTAAATTAAGATTTACTGGGATCATAAAATGGTTCAGTGAAGAAAAGCACTAAATTGTTTTATTAGTAATAAATATTAAAATATATAATCTGACAATTTTCTTCCCTAAACCACTTAAGAGATTTCCAGAAAGTAGTAGTAATTTCTGATAACAGAGGATGTTTATGTGTGCATCATTAATACACACATTTAAAATGCAAGAGTTTCAATAACATTCTTCCAGAAGTTTACGAAGTTAATTATAAAAAAAGAGAATGGGTGTGCGATTAAAAAAAAGGCAGAAATAAATTGCTGCCAGTAACTTAGTAGTTAAATAGGTGTGACGTGCACATTTCAATGTCTTGGATCGTTCATTCCAAGTGGAAAGGTTAATAGGTAATACTGACAATAAATTGAATTTCTGGGTTACAGAGGTGTAGCCTGTGATGGGTTGCCAGCCTGTCATCATAGCCGGGCTCCGCATCGTGGGAGCCACGTTTCTGTAATCGCACTCCCCTCGTTATGTAATCTCGACTCCATTGCATAATAGGCTCAGAATACGACAGGCGCTCCCCTATCCCCGTTTCGTTTTTCATTTTACAGGTAATCCACTCTTGACCGTATTTCTTTAAAAATGAAAATAGAGCCGCCGAAACGTTGGGAGCCGAGGCGCTGCATTCCCAGAGCTGCGGGGCTGGTGTTGGGTAACTCTTGCCGGGCTGCGGGTAGCCTCGGTGCCTGCGAGGAGCCGTCCCGAACAAACAGCGATGGCTTACACCAGGTTGATTGTGTAATTCCTGTAAGCAGCCTGCGCCCTGCAATAGCATGAAATATTCAGCACGCTTGCTATTAATCAGAAAGGCTGGAAGGGCGAGGTCTGTTCTCCACCGCCTCAAAACAACCCTGCGTGAGCAAATGGCGGCAGCCATGAGGCCGAGCGGGAGACGGGGCGCTGCCGGCGCCAGTGGGTAAACGGGACCTTCCAGAGAAATGTCGCCGGTCCGCAGCGCCGTGATTTAGCGTGAAATCATTGTGAATACTCGAGCCCGTGACGCATCCGAAAGCGCGCCTCGCCGGCGCGAGCGTGGGTGTGAGTAGGCAGGACTGAACTTCCCGCCAGCGTTCGTTCCTCCTTTTGGCAATTTGCGTGATAAAACCGAGGTGGCTGATTTCATTCAACGTTTCTCATCAGTCCCGTTTTGCCGAGGTAACTGTAGCGCTGCTGTTCTCTGCCGGTTCTGTGGAGGGAAACGCAGCACTTCTTGGTCTGTTGTTTTGTCAGAGCTAATAGTAACCTATGAACATATACAACCTTCTTTTTTTGACAAAGTGATCAAAAAGCAGACGAAACTAACACTGAAAATACATTTTCGGGCAGTCAAGATTCTTGACAAATTCAGATTTTTTTTTAATGGATTTCACCAACCTTTTAGCAGAATAAAAGAAAAATTGAGAGAAGTCATTCTGACATCTCACAGGTGAAACATTTCACTCAGGAGTTATGTCCTTAAGGAGACGTAAGTGTGCAACACAGAAATTAAGAGGTAGCACTTTTCTGTTACTTTTCAGCATTGCCCCTGTATGCGGAGAAACCTGGGTCCAGGTTCCCAAACCTGAGCATGTCTCCCAGGGGCTGGATTTTAAAGTAGTGTGGCTGTTTCTCCAGATTTCACCAAACGGGAACCATACGCCTCAGGTGACCGTGCTTAAGAGGTGTCCTACCTTACGGGATGCATACCCTTGCTTCCTATCACAAATCTAGTATTGCATTTTTAGATATTTTTTGTCTGGAAAAAAAATGTTTGAAATGGAAGAGAGACAATTTCTGTTTGAATAAAAAAATTCAACAGTCCCAAACTATGCTTTTCCCCCCGCCCCCCCAGTTTTCAAGGGAAAAAAAAAGTTAATTAACAAATAAGTTGGGGTTTGGTTCATTGCTTGCTTCAGCTATTCAGCTGAGAAAATCAATTATTCACACAGCTCTAGTCAGTATCTTGAGGGGAATTCTCAGTACATCAAAGGCCCAAGACTGTTTATCTGTCTGGGATCGAGAATCTTATTTTTAAAAACTCGGTGTTGTCCTTAACTCAACTGTAGCCTTGGTTTTAAGGGGGTGACTTTGTACTTGCTTCCCGCAGAGTCAGCTGCTCGCTGGCTCCATCATCATGGGCGAAAGCTTGGCCCTGCCGAACAGGCTAAATGGTAGCCGTGAGCTGCCGCAGAGCTGGGGTGTCAGCCAAGGAGGTGGGTTGATGCTAACAAAGTAGTTTAAATACCAGTTGTTTGTTGTCCTGGAGGCAACTGTTCGACATGCCTGTCTAGGCAGAGCCTCCCATGTCTGTCTGTCTATCCAGGCTGTGGAAGTGGCCCGTTGAGTGTTACTCCTTCTTAGCGGCACCCTTTAAAACAGTTTATTGTTAATTTAAGAGAGAGATTTAAAAATGAGTCTGTTGCTCTCCGCTTCCTGATAACAGTGCCGTTGTCACAATAATATTAATAACTGAAGGAAGGAAGGGGGAACAGTGCTGGTCGTAGGAGGGTGATGAAACGGTGGGAGGTTCGTCATGGCTCTCCTTGAGTAACGCACGCAGCTGAGGCCGGTGCCTGTGTTTCAGGGAGGAGTCATCTCTCTCGTTTGAAAACATGGCGGATGGTATGGTCCCAAATGAAAAGGAGCAGACTTTGTCCAGAGGTGGAAGAGGATTTTGTGTCCTCTAATAGACATGTTGTTTCTCACTGGAGGGTAATGATTTGATGCTGGTTTGGTGGAAGTTTAAGAGAGGACAAAGCTATGTATGCCAATGTCCAAATAATGCATCAGGAATTTTTTTTTTTTTTGAGAACAACTAACAGCTGCACCTGATGTCTTGAGGACTTTGGGCTTAAGCTTGCAGTAGTGTTCATAGAACCATAGAATTACTAAGGTTGGAAAGGACTTCTAAGATCATTGAGTCCAACCGATGTGTTGACCAGTAGCAGCTTGTCTTCCTTTTTAGGAGCCCCTTGTTCTCTCTGTGGAGGCTGGGGACGGAACTGCCAGCCAAACTCAGCTCTCAGGTAACTGGTGACTCTGCAGATTATGTCCTGGAAAAAGTTCTTTGTTTTGAGGAAAATACTCCCTTATTCTTCCAGTGAATAGAAGAAGCATAAAAATTTTGTCAGGACATACTAAAATAGGAGCGGGGAACCCCTAGTTACAAGTACTCTTGCTGTGGTGGGCTTCTGTATAATGATTTAAATCAAAACCAAAATGTAGTTTGTAATTAAGATTTCATTTTCTATAGCAAAATTTCCTGAATTCAAAT